AAAAAAAAAAAAAAGAAAGATAAGAAAAAATGATAAATTATACTCATTAAAATGAAGAACTTTTGTTCATCAAAGACACAATCCAGAAAAGGAAAAGACAAGACAAATAACAAAGAGAAGGTAATCATAATATACAAACCGGATAAAGGTCTCATACACAAAATATACCAACAATTCTTACCATATGCACTCTATACATCTTACAAGCAACTAGATGGAATATTAAAATAATGTTTAATTCAATAAGTTAAAAAATAAGAGAAAAAATGAATTAAAGATCTACATAATAGCAAGCATTATGGTAGGATTGAAATTAAAGCATTCTATAAACCTCAGTTATATGGAAAATAGTACTATGTTAATTAAATTTGGACTTTCTTCTTCTTCTTCTTCTTTTTTTTTTTTTGTGGAACCAGGGATTGAACTCAGGCTCTTGTGCTTGCCAGGCAAGCACTTATTCTACTGAGCTATCTCCCCAGCCCAAATTTGGACTTTCTTTACTCAAATTCTGGTTATATTTCTATAGCACGCTAAGAATCAAGCAAGAATGAATATTTTTCAAAGGAATAATGACAAAAAATAATCTCAAAATAAGTAAATGTGAAGCAAAAGAAAAGCAAAAAAAAGGTGGGAAAAACACATTTGGGCTGCACACAGTAGTGCATAACTATAGTCTCAATGACTTAGGATATGAAACCAGGATTGCCAACTTTTAAGCCAGCCCGGGCAATTTTATGAGACTGTCTCAAAATTTAAAAATAAATAAAGAATTCAGGATGTTGGTTAGTGGTAGAGTACTTACCTACTATGCATAAGCCTCTTGTTAAACCCCTGGTACCCACCTGAAAAAAACTGCAGGAGGTAAAAATGGTTCATATAAATCAGTAATTACTGTTTATTTAAATGATTATTTCTAGATGCAAAAAGAGGTTAAATGTGAACTTGAAAGCCAGGCTTGGTTGTGCAAGCATGTAACGCCAGCACTCAAGAGGCTCACACACGAGGAAGACAGTGAGTGTGAGGCCTGCCTGGGATGCATAGGGAGCTTTTTCCTTTTCTTTCTTTCTTTCTTTCTTTCTTTCTTTCTTTCTTTCTTTCTTTCTTTCTTTTTTTTTTTTTTCATAGTGAGTTAAAGGTCAGCTCAAATCAAATGGGGAGAACTTCTCTTAAAACAAAAAACGGGATGGCAAGACAGTTCAGCAAGTGAAAGTACCTGCTTAGGCAAGCTTAGGCAAGTGCAGGGACAGTGGTTCCATCCCAAGCACCACATGCCTTGCCAGCCCTGCCCTCAGGGTGGGCTGAGCTGACCAGAGTCCAGGTATAGTGGCACACAACTGTAATCCCAGTGCTGGGGAGGCTGAAAGCACGAGGATCGCCACAAGTCCCAGCTGCATAATGAGACCTGGTAACAACCAAATACATTAAAATCAAACAAAAACGTTAATTTTAAAATGCACAGAAAGGCTGCAACTTACAACATATTAAAACTCCTACCTACAGGGCCAGTGAGATAACTCAGCAGACTAAGTGCCTGCTTAGGCAAGCACAGGAACGAGGGGTTTGGGCCCCAGCACTACATGCCATGCTGGCCCTGGCCCCACTCCTGGGTGCACTGAGCCGACCACCCAGACTAGGCTTGGTGGCACATGCCTGTAATCCCAGCATTGGGAAGGCTAAAAACAGGAGGATCACTATGAGTCTGAGCTGTGTAGTGAAACCCTGTATCAAATACATTAAACACACACACACACACACACACACACACACACAAAACCCTCCTACCTGCGAAACACTTAACAAAACACAAATCAGAGAATGGTGGCAATTGATCAGACAATTTTTTAATTAAAAAACTTGCTAAAGAGAAAAATAACTATTGCTCACTGAAAAAAATTCACTCAAAAATATAATAGTTCTAAAATTCTATGTGCTGCATTTTATTTCCCAATGACATTTAATAAATGAGCAAATATATGGGGCAAATTAATGATTTTGAAAAATCATTACCTTTAAGGTTTAGCTCTCTGCCACTCATTGAGAACTTTTTTTTTTCTTTTGTGGAACCAGGGATTGAACTCAGGCCCTTGTGCTTGCCAGGGAAGCACTTATTCCACTGAGCCATCTCCCCGGCCCTCACTGAGAACTTAAAACTAAAAACAAATATATTTAAAATACAGAACATGCAATGAAACAGTTATAAGCTACATGCCAGAGCTGCACCTCATTATTTTATCATTTTAAAGTAATTTTAGCCTTTGTAATAGCAGAATGTCATGAACAGTGATGACAGACCAATAACATAGAATTGACTGTCTAAAAGGAAGCCTTAAATTTGAGTGATTTTCATCAAGGGGGTCTGAACAGTGCAATGGGAGAAAGAATAGTCTTTTCAATAAACAGTGCTGGATCACCAGGATATGCTGTGCTCAACCAAAAAACTTTTTAATCTTTATCTTGCATTGCACATAGAAACAAACAAAATGGATTAAAGATCAATGTACAAAAGCTAAAACTATAATATCTTAGAAGAAAATATAGGAGTAAAACATAATAATCTTAGGTTAAGCAAAATTTTCTTAGGTATTACACCAAAGGACAAAGACCAGAATTTAAAAAAATGGATAGCATCAAAACTTATTTATTCAAAGGTCACCAATAGCAAAGTGAAAAGACAGAACTGAATTAAGAAATGCTGGGCAATTGTGCATTTGATATGGTACTTATATCTGGGATATACAAAAGAGGTTTGCATTAGATAAATGCAATAATTAACAGTAGCCTAATTAAAACATGGTCAATAAAATATCTGAATAGATAGTTCTGCATAGGCAACACTAAGTGGCCAATAAACACATGAAAAGATGCTCAGCATTGCTAGTCATCAGAAAAAAGGAAAAACCACAATGAAAAACTCTACTGCTTCTAAACTCTACTTTGACTACAATTTATTAAGACAATAGAAAGTCAAACTCATGGAGTTTGAAGCCTCTTACACTCTTTATAGCAACATTTGTGGACACTGTCAAACAAACAAGCAAAAAAACCCATAGACATTTGGCAAACAGCCTATAAGTGCCGCAAATTAAAAGGGCCGGGAATGTAGCTCAATGGTGCAGCACCCGCCTAACAAGCGTGAGACCCAGAGTTTGATTCCCAGTACCAAAAAAGAAAATAGTAAAAATAAGACCAAAAAAAGTCCCTTTGGAATAAAATGTGCTACCATGTGGCCCAGCAATATATTCTTAGGCGTACACCCAAGAGAAGAAAGAAAATGTGTGCACACAAGCCTTGTACACAAATGTTTTTAGCAGGGGCCAGGGAGATGGCTCAGTAGAATAAGCACTTCCTTGGCAAGCACAAGAGCCTGAGTTCAATCCCCGATTCCGCAAAAAAAATCTTATGAGTGGCTTTAAGAATCTGTCCCCTTTGGTCAGTCACTCCCCTTGCATGACCGCAAGGCCCAACATGGCCCTCAGCAAGGCAGCAGCAGACACTCTGCAGCAGAAGTTGCAACAGGCCTGTGACTGGGCCATGAGCTAGAAGTACAACCGGGGTGCCAGACTTGGCTTGTCTGCCACCCCCAACAGTCTTCTACATTGACAAGAATGTATCTAGGTCTGTCAGGTTGGAAGATTAAATGCTAATGTCTTTTACCCAAACAGCTCAGATGGCTTTTCTCAGTTTTGCAGATGAAAGCCACCTAGCAGCTGTACAGGATGGAACACCTGTGGATACCTGTGGACAAGCTGGGCTCTCACGTCCTGGAGGCTAATACACATTTCTTCCATTAAACCTTCCATCCCTGTGGTGACATGGGTGTGTGAATAATGACAGCTGACAACTAGCATTCGTTGGGGGTATAGCATGGCCCAGGTACACATTGCTTTTTATTAATGTATTTAATCATCATTATGAAGTAGGTGCTATTTATGAGGCAGCTGAGGTTTAGGGAATGAGTAATAAAAAATCGCCCAGGGCCACCCACTGTTGACTGCCATGTGTTACAGGGTTGTACCCTAAGTCACTAATCATTGTGAAAGTTTCTTCTAGAGACTTTCATCCAGAGTACTAGTTGGAGATTAAATGAAAGAAACAAAATATAAATAAATAAATAAATAAAATAATTTTTTGCCCAATAATTTTAGCATCTGTCCAGTGCCTGAACTAATTACTTCTATGTGTTTGGTGATATTTTTAAAGCTTCCCTCTTACCTTTCATACTTTTATGTACTACACTTGAATTTTCTTTGGATTGGTAAAATTAAAGGGGAAAACAACTTATGTAGAGGACCACCTGAGCGACTCTCCTTGAAAGAAGAGCAATTGTTTCTATTTTGGCTGTCTGACTGTATTTCCATGTATTGATATGAACAGAGCTGGCTAGGACTTTGCCTTACCCCTTCAACTAGCTTTAAGCAATGCATATTGGCTTAGCCAAGGTGCTGGTGGTAGTCAATGAGACGGCATGCGTGTTTCTCTAATAACCCCCACCTGCTGCTCTTTAATATGAGCCAGGTTGACACAGGACGAAAAGCCAATGCTCCATGCTGTCAGCTGGGATCAAGCCTTGAGGTAGAGGTTATGACTTCCTGGGGTTTGAAAGATTACACATCAGAACTGAAGCATGGACCCCAAAACTTTAGATACTATCTCAATTGTGTAATGCAAATTACTCTCTTCATATCCTTCTCTCTGGTAAATACAGGCCTCATATGTAGCCCAGCTCACAGTGCTCACTAACTTCCTGCTATTCTCTCTCTCTCTTTTTTTTTTTTTTTTTGCTTTAAACAATTTATTTAACTGAAATGGACTTAAGTTTGTTTCTGAAGTGACTTCCATTTACTTTGATACATCTTTTCCCCATGATGATTTACAGGATCTTCAAGCCAATATAAATACTTTATAAATATTTGAATTTTTGGGTATACACCTGCACAATACCTCAGCAGTATCTTTCAGCAAGAAAACACTGAAGAGTAAAGGCTAGACACAATTACTGGGTACAGTGAAAATCTGTTGCAAATATTTCTGAGGTAAGAAGGCACCACATACCTGTTCAACTAAGAAAACCACCCTTACAACACAGGATGATTTTATTTTTACATAGGACCTAGAACACTTAAGCTGCCAATTAGGTTCTGAATGGCAGAGCAACGTCCCCAGTTTATGCCATGAATTCATAGGGAATGGGTTCCAACAACTCGGGTTCCTTTCCATTGGTCCTCATAAAGTGTGCTTCTCTGAGAGGGGCAGGCTGGTGCTTCAGTTGAACCCAGGTACCTTTCTTTTTCTCTTTGGCTTCCTTCGTTTTCTGATCATTTTCCTTGACACGTTTCAGGAAGCTATCATGACTTTTTGAGTGTTTAATATGCTTGATATGCAAATTAATCCTCTTGGCAAGTATCTTGCCTTAACTTGTTTGTTTACAACAATGCCAACAGCATGCTGGGTAACATTGTAGACTCTTCCCGTTTTGCCATGGTAACATTTGTGAGGCATTCTTTTTTGCACAGTACCCATTCCCTTGATGTCTACAATATCACCCTTTTTGTAGATTCGCATGTATGTAGCCAAAGGAACAACCCAATGTTTTCTAAGAGGCCTGGAAAACATATACCGGGTTCCCCTCCTCTTGCCCTTTGTGTTAGTCATTTTGGCAAATTACTGGAAGATGGCGGTTCCGGCCGAAAGGCAACTTCCTGCTATTCTCACTCATCCTCAAGCACTCCTCCTTCATGACTGAATAAAACCTGGGTTTGGCCCTGGTTCAAGGCCTCTGTTCTGGATAGCCATCACCATGGCTGGACTTAGGACCCCTTGGCTCCCCATAACTATAACTATGCTTTAGTATCTTCATTCTCACCATGGGTTGCCCTAGAAGTAGTAGGTTAGAATTAACTTGATGGGATTCCAATAACTTATCAATAGGATTACAAATACAAGCTTCCTGGACTGAGACCAGAAAGGGCTCCCTAAGTATAAATTAGTAATTAAGAATATTTGGGATTTATTAATCAATATCATTATTCAGTCTTCAAATAATTCACTCTTCTAGGATTTTCTAAATTAATTAGTTTCGGATTTGCTGAAAACTTTAAGAGCATGTCAGTTTTCAATATCTCCCTCACACACTGCTACACACACACACACACACACACACACGTGCGCACACACACACCTTTTTGTATGATAAGCAATGCCCCAATGACTATTTCTGCATAATCTTCAGGTTGCAACTATGTTGGCATACATATGTTATATTTTTAAAAGTTTATTGGTTATGTGTATCTTAACTCATGATATTGACAGATTTTCTTTATTGGGAATGCACCATTTTATATTTTCAAATCAATGTGTGACTGGTTTCCTCAACCAACAGTTTCCATTTTAACTGTCAGTTCTTATTCTACTTTTCCACTTTCTCTCAATCTGAAGAGAAATCATCTCAAAGAATCCATTTCCCTTTAAAGTCAAGGTTAATAAAGATCTTCATCTTTATTAACAATAGGACAACAGAGCAGTACTACTCCTTTTGGAAGTTCTTTAACATGAAATTTTTTCATAGATACATTTTAAGACTATAGTACCTCACCTCTGATAATGCAAGCACTAGGCTGAGAAAATATTCTAGCACCTCTTGTTTGAAGTTAGGTTCTATATTATGTAAGGCTTAGGAATGGTGCTCAGTGGTAAAAAGGTTGCCTACCATGAGCAAGGTCCAGGGGTCAACCCCCATAGTACATACATAATAAAACAGGAACATCAAAATAGCATGGAATGACAGGAAAAATAAGATCAAAGGTATATGAAGCAGTTATGTTCTAATAATTTCATAAAAAATACTTATTCAAGAATATTGGAGGTGGGGAGATAGCTCAGTAGAATAAGCACTTGCCTGGCAAGCACAAGGACCTGAGTTCAATCCCCAGTTCCACAAAGAAAAAAAAAAAAGAATATTGGAGGCTGGCGAGACAGCTCAGCACACTAAGTGCCTGCCTATGCAAGCACGGGGACAGGGGTTCAATCCTCAGCACCACGGGCCACAATGGCCCCACCCCCAGGCATACTTAGTTGGCCAGAGTCAGGGTGTGGTGGTGCATACCTGTAATCCCAGCCCTGGGGAGGATGAAAACATGAGAATTAGTATGAGTCTGAACTGTATAGTGAGACCCTGTACCAAATACATTAAAAAATACATATATTTATTGGAAATCATAAAAAAGAGGGGCAAATCATCATGAGATGCTTGAATAATAAAAACCCACATGAAATATGTTTTAGGAAAAGTTTTTCTATGTTCATTATAAAGTATTATAATGTGATATATAGTTATGTCCTTATTTTGTCACTTTTATTGGATTTTCAAAATATATTTTTAATTCATTTTTCTGTATTATTTTTCTATTTATGTTCTACTCTTGGTCATTTCCTTCTTTATTCTTACTTTTGATTTAGTTTGGTGTTTTGTACTTTAAGGCAAGAGTCACTGATTTAAAAGTTTTTTTCTGGGCTGTGGAGATAGCTCAGTGGTCTAAGCACCTGCCTAGATTAGCACAAGGACCCAGGTTCAATCCCTGGTACTGTATGCTACTGGAACTGGGTGTAGTGGCACATGCCTATAGTACCAGTACTTGAGCAGCCGAAACAAGAGGATCCCTATGAGTCTGAGATGCTTAGTATGACCCTGTACCAAATACATAAAATTTAAAAAAAAGTTTTTTCTAATATGGATGTTAAAGCTATAAATTTCCTGCTACATGCTGATTTATTTGTATTTTATCAGTTTGATGTTCTTGTTGCATTCAAGTTATTTTTATATTTTCCATCATAATTTCTTCCTTGACACAATGATTTAGAAGCATGTAGTTTAATTTCCAAAATTTGATTATTTCCCAAATTTCATAAATATAAATCTCAATTTGTGGTGCATTAGGAAAACATTGTGTTCTATTCCCTTTTCCTTTTTTTTTTTTTTTTTTTTCATTACTGGGTGTACCAGTCAATGCTTACTAGAAAAACAGGTTTAAAGGAAGATTCACAAATATATAAGTATTTACAAGGTTGGCTTACAATGGCCGCCCATACAGTTAGATGTAAAAGAATGCAAAAGGTCTGTTTGCATGCTGGAGATTAGAAGGATTTGCCTTGACAAAGTACAAAACACCTGGAGTCCACTGTAGTGCCTGTCTGAATCTGTATCAGGAGGTCAAAGGGTCTGTGATGGAAGACTGAAGGCTGTGTGTTGGAGGCTGAAGAGTCCACACTGGAAGCCAGAAGATGACATCCAAGGTGAAGGTAAAAACTGGAGCTCGTCCAAAGAAATCCTTCTTTCTTCATTTCCCTTTTATACCCTGGGAACAATCTTCCCTAGGGTGGGTCCTCCACACCCACAACTATGCTGATCCAATTTAGCTGGCTTTTTCTTAAACTGACACAGTTAACTATCACACTGGCAATTAGCTGCTGGTAAGTATCTAAACATGTCTAAGCATTTTATATTCTTATCAAAGAGGCCTGGGTTCCCTGTATATAGTAATGCCAAGAACACATACAGTACTTGATTTTTTCAGGGGGGCTCATTTAGGAATGTTCTTTGTATGTGGAACCCAGTGGTACTACCAAGATATGTAATGCTCAGAGGAACTGTGTTAGGATAGCTACTCAATTCAGTTAAGCTGTTCAGCATAAAGAGAGTAGAAATTAAAATATCTGAGTATCAGATAGATTTAAAAAGTGATTAATGGTGTAATATTATTGTTTTGCATCAGTCTTGCTATGTACTTTAGGTTAGTTTTGAACCCATAGCCCAGACGGGTCTCAAAATTGCAGTGATCCTCCTTTCTCAACCTCATGAGTGCCAGGATTATAGATGAGCACTACCATATCTGACAGTCTAGTAAAATTTTAAGAAAGGACTTGGAGGAGTAGTTCAGTAATAGCGAACTTTCCTAGCATGTGCAAAGCCCTGGGTTTGATCTCCAGCTCCACAAAAAACAAGCAAACAAAAACCAAACAGCAACAACAAACTTTAAGAAAATCAAATGAATAAAAAACAGGGGCATAGGATTTAAATCCAAGTTTTATCTAACTTTTAATGAATACTGACAATAACAAAGTTAATATTATATTTTCAACTTTGAGTATTAAAGTGGATGCCTATATTATATCAATCTTAACACATACTTGTTAAAAATTCTGAACAGATATTCCCAACAAAAGTGAGCAGCTTATCAAAAAAAAAAAAAAAAACCCAAAACTTATCATGGCAAGGCATACTATATTCCAAAGATGGTT